CACAGCTTGACTATCAGCGATGCAGCGCGGATGACTTTTCCACACAGACACACAGAGGCAGTACCGTTTGTGCAGGGCAGCGGCGCTCTTTACGCACGGGGATGCAAAGGTGCGCTCAACACCTAGTGAGTGATGTGTGTGTGTGTGTGTGTGTGTGTGTGTGTGTGTGTGTGTGTGTGTGTGTGTGTGTGTGTGTGTGTGAGAGAGAGAGAGAGAGAGAGAGAGAGAGAGAGAGAGAGAGAGAGATCGATAGTGGGCTGACTTAAGGGCTTGTAATTTTCGCAGAAGAGACAAAAAACAACATAATCATCCTCATCACCATCACCATTATGAAAACCCTCAAGCGTGTCGACGGCTGACTATGGATTATAAACTATGAAAGCACATGTCCACTATGTAAACACGTTCATGTCACGTTTTTCTCCGCAAAATAAGTGCCTCGAGAATAAAGGTATCGCTGTAAACTTTTTAAAGATTTTAATGCTCTGAAACAACTCCGCTTCTGTCCTGTCTGTGCTCCTTTTGTTCTCTCGTCATTTCTCTCTCACTGCGTCGTGGTCATCCGCCAAAATATATTCAGACATGTTTTTGTTTTGTTTTGTTTTGTTCTGTTTCAGTTCTCTGAGTGGAAAAGAACGAAAAAAACAGCATATGAGACATTCTTGCAAAGTGTTCCGTCAGATTTGATGTGCGCATCCTGGCCCCTGCTGTAACATGCAGTGTGTTAAAAGGATCCGCGTCCAGTGGAGCCTTGGAGGGAAACGGAGGGGGTGATCAGATTTAAGGGGGGTGATGTGGTTTAGGAGAGAGAGAGAGAGATTCTCCAATCCTTTTACGCACAATTCATTATGTGGCATGGTGAAGAAAATAAGAAAAAGAGATTTTTGACCACTGATTTTCATCTGCTTGCTCCTAAGATCTTGGTGATTTAACAGTAATTTCTTGCTGTGATGTTCAATGAAAGGGGACACAATGATAAACGCCTTGAATGTAATTTTGAAACAAACATTAAGAAAACAAATCAGGACAAAAAACCCAGACATTTAATTCCACAAACCTAGGACCGCTCTCTGGTCGGCCTTGCGCTCCCGTGTCTCACAGAGTGGCAGGACTAATACCACCAAATGGTCAAGCAATAGCTTTTCCCAAACACATGTGGACGTTTGTGGGACTCAAAAACACCTCTGCGTGAATGAGGTGGCTGCTCGTGATGTTTTTAGTTTTTTTCTAAAGCGAGCAGTGACAAGCGGTTTGTGCCAGAAGTGACGCACGACACACTGAACTTCATCGTGGAGAAATGCGTCTCCATGCGCACTCGCTTAATTGCTTTTTCACAAGATTCTTTTATGAAAAGCTTTCATCTCACACAATGAGTCATTAAAATGTCACTTCTAGATTAAGTAGAGACGAGTCATTCATTTTTTTTCATCAGCAGAATGTCACCTTTCCGCCAACTATGAACCTTTTGCACCACTGTGATCTTTTTTTCTCGTTTAGACTGAAGAGCTTCAATATTTTTATCTTTTACTGGTATTATGTCGAGATATACTAGACCTAAATGTAAATTTCAACAATCAAAAGTCATGCGGTTTTCACCCGGTTTCAGTGTCCCATGTAGCCCCTGCACTGCACTGTCAACCCTTCATTTGCAGCTTCACTCTGCAGCTGCAGGATCGAGGTGGGAAATTTGTGCAGCTGCTAATTCTGAACCATGTGGCTAAATTCCAAAAGTCTCCTTCTCTGTGTTTATGAATATTCATATGGTTTGTGCATGGGAGTATGGTGGAGTCATCTGCTCCAAATGCAACCATGTGTGCCTGTGGAGTGGGTGCTTTTTCAATTAGCATGTAGATAAACTTCCTCTGTAAATGACCCTGTATTACAGCTTTTGTAGCACTTCCTTTTCCTGGTTTTGGAGTTAAAATTAGAGTGAACTTTAAATGTAAAGATAAGTATCCTAAAAAAGACAAGAAATTAACTCCAAGTTTAATGATAGCTAAAGTGGTTATGCCCTCTACCGCACCCTTGATTTGATAGTGATACACCCACTGTTTACTGGACCCCACAGTGCTGTTCCAGTGTGTTTGACTTCACAGTATATTAAAATGTTTACAAGGGGTCGAGTGAGGCACACAGTGAGACTTATCTACTGAAAGAAGACATGAGGATTTGTCAGTCCTTTCTCTCTTTTGTACCCTCACTCTGCTGCAGCAGGATGACACTTTTCTTGTGCTTTATTCTTTGTTGTGTATCCTTTTTTTCCCTCCTAGTCTGAAGCATGGGGGAAAGAATGGTGTTACATTAAGCGGCCCACACATCCCTGCTTCGTCACAAAGCCCTCTTACAGTCATATCTTTGCCTGCTGTCGCCTGATAAAGGCGCTTTGACCCCTCTCTGCCACCAGGCTTTTTATTAGAAGAATGGCAGTCTTTGATTAGGAGGTGATCCTCTTCCATTTGTTGGAAAAGGGAATGTGAACCTCTGTGCTTTCATCTCCTCCGTGTCTGTCTGGGTGAGAGATGAGTAGCGATGTAAGGCCATCAATCCTGTATATGAACAAATATGTAAAACTAATACAATTGTACACCAAGTTAGCCTCGCTGGTACAAAAGTGGTCTCAAAGTTTATCAAAATCGAGTAAAGACAGGCTTAAATTATTTGGTTAAATCCTTTTTTTTTGCTAAGTTGATCATAACCTTTGATTGATAATCTTTAAGAATTCTGTTTTAATGATTTGAGTATTATTTTTCAGTTTTGATTGTGTCGTCTTTTTCTTGAGAGTTTTCGACAAACTAATGGTGCTCTTTTGTCCACACCTCACTATATGTTACAGACAGCCCAGAGCAAAGAACTTTGCCAAGAGACATTTTCCTCCGAAAAGAAAATCTTACCATTTTTATTGTGTTTTTCCTCCCGTGGGGATTTTACCCTGCAGCCAGATAAAGAATAAAAACCCCTTCTGTTTGTGTAATCTACACTCTGGTTTCTTTTGTGCCAGTAGTAGAAACCATTAAGTTAGCTATAAATCTCCTCACCACTCAACAAACAAACTGCTTTTGAACCGCTGGCATCAATAATACATGTGTAGTAGCACCCACAATGCAGCCCAAGAATTCCCAATGAAAAATCGCTCTAATATTCCAACAGGGACTGAGTGTGTGTGTGTGTGTGTGTGTGTGTGTGTGTGTGTGTGTGTGCGCAGCAGCCTGTTCAATACTGAGTGTACGACCTTATTGTCGCTAATGGTTCCTTTTCTTTTGTTTTAAATCTGCTCTGATGTTGCTGTGTGTTCTTTAATTACTACCACAGGGAGTTGTCACTTTATACTTGAATCACATACTTATAAAAATGCTGTAGATTAACACAGGTTTCTTGAAGAAGAGGGAATGACAAAACACAACTGCGCACAGTCAGTGTTTTCACTTTTGACTTGTTGATGAGCTGGTAACATTCAGAGTGTCTGCAGCCTGCAGGAATGATAGGATCATATCCTTTGTGACCTTTTCATTCAACACACCCTCATCTATTAATTCTGACTTTAATTGCACCATCTCCAGCATGTGCACGTCATGTTTTGCCATACTTCATTGTCAGATTGCCTTTCAAAAACGCCTTTTTCTACAACGGATGTTATAATTAGATTAAAGCGTCACCTTATGTTTGAGCATGCTCAATTTGACTACATGTGTATTTCAAATTAAAGCATGCAGATTACTGCAGATTTGATATGGTTGGTTTAAAATGGGATGCTTCTTTTGCTGTTTTCCTCTGCCATCTGTAAATTGAGCAAGCTCTGAGATTTCATCTTGATGAGCCAGAATGAAGGAGAAAGGAGCAAAAAAGGAGACACACAAATAGAAATACCGGTAACCTTTGTGCTACACAGGCCCTGACAGCCGAATACACAGCAAACAAACTCCCCATAACAAGAAAGGGGAGCAAACACTAATATACATGTACAGAAGCGAGGTCCTGCTTGAAATCTTTGACAGTACACCACAGACAGTTTAGACAGGTTGGGGACTAAGATTCAGCGGTGGGGAAATCAATCTGCGATGTTTTAATTAGGTTGGCAAATGTGCGCTTAGGGCCACCAAGAAGAGCCTGCAGCATGAAAAACAATGAAATTCTCAGATGCTGCTACCATGTAGCTTTTTTTTTTATCTGAGGGGAAATAGGATTGACACAAACAACACTCAAAGAAAAGAGGCAGAATGATTCGGTGTCAGGCACGGTGCAGACAACTGTCAGTCAAAACTACCTGCAAAGACTGTCTCCTGCAAGGTGGTAGTTTGCTATGATGGCAACTAAGATCCATGCATATGTGTGGTATTTCTAAGGAATAGCAGACCCACTGGAGTCAGTGTAAACCTAGACTGATGTGATACGATAATATGTGATTTATCCTGATGATACAACAGTTTAGGGCGAGCCTGACTAAAAGCACAGACGTATTTTACTTAAAAAATAAAAAAAACCCTCAGTCATTTTGCCTTTGGACTTGCACATTAAACTCTTCATAATATTGTTTTCTCGGTGTATGTATAGACACAGAGGGAGCTCCACAGAAATACCAAACTCAGACATGTACACACTGTTCTGCACCATAGGCTCAGCTGTTACACCCCCACCCTCTCCCCCCATTTCCCCCTCTGTTAGTACCTGTGAGGGAGGATCAGAGGTGGAACCACTTTCCCCACCATCTCACCTCCATGTGTTACACACTGCAGATGGGGCGCAACAGGGGCGTCAATAACCTACCTTGAAATTGTAGCATGTAAGAGCCTCTTACACATGGTTTGCACTGCTTGCAAAAGCACAGCCAGTTTTGCAAATGGACTGCAAGGCTGACACAAGATGAACAGAGGATCTAAATATAAATTCAAAACAAATAAAAAAAACAGCAAATTAGATGAGTCATACATTGCCCTCTGCTTGACCTCCACCAACAGCTGGGGTGACCATAGATTAAAAAAAAAAAACTTTTTCAGTTGCAGATTCACCAAAGAAACAACAAGTACGGTGGCACTGAGGTGAAAAACACAACGCAAAAAGAGATAACACATAATGTCGCTGTGTTCTCTGATTTGCCATGTGTTTTCTCTTTTTGTGTTGTGTTTTGCATCCCAGGGCCACCATACTTATTGTTTCCTTTGGTTTTTGTGTTTTATGAGGTCAAGTTTCCCTCTAAAGGGGGTCACTAAAAACAAAGGTTTTAGCACCACTGCATTGTGATATGATACAATACAATACATGATATGATGATCAAGAGTAGGCCCAGGTCACGCTCTGGAAACACCCCTGAACAGGGAAATAATGACCAAAGCCTTACTCTGTTTTCATCCCCATCAAGTGAAAAAATCTAGCCCAACAGAAAATGATCATAATTCTACTAATAAAGTGAAAATTAATGAGTCATACAGACGTCATTTACACTTGGTGGACTGTTGCCTCTAAAATCTGTGCGTGCTTACAGCTCAGGAGAGGTCTACAGGTTTGTGGTTATTATCTGCCATGTTGTCAATTATTATTTGAATATATTACATGCTCAGTGGTGGTTGTCATGTTGCATGTTGTTTATCACAGGATTCACAAAAAGTTTTCTGTCAGAGTGAACTAGTGCCAGCCAACCCCATACACACTCCCACACACTTCCACAGACAGCCACACTCACACAAAAGCTTTCACTCAGGGCCATCACTCGGATGTTTAAGGCAAAATTGTCCTGATCCAGGCCCTTGAAAGCCTCACCCTTGTGTTCACTAAACATCGTAGATGTCATAGAGCCTGAACGCATCATGTACGTCTGTCAGCTTTGGAGGCTTTTGATCCGCTTTGTTGTAGCTGCCCCTCTTCTCTCACTGAGAAGCAGCGTCTGTCCTCCACGTCCTCCTGCAGGGCTGCAGGAGGCTGTCAGGCACCGACCCTTTTGACAAGCACGTTTTGAGGCTTTCAAAATGTGGTGACAAAGGGTCTAGGATAACACATATACTGGGTGTGTGTGTGTTTGTGTGTGTGGTGACTGTGTCTGTCAGAGTTTGTTTGTATGGCTGCATGGTTGGAGGGATAGAGGGTGACTGACAGACTCTAACCAAGCCCCAGAGACGCTCTCTCCCTCTCTCTCTCTCTTTCTCTCTTTCTCTCTTTGCTCCAGTGTCTGCCTGTTCCTCTTCCTCCGCCCACCCTCTGCCTTCATCTCTGCCTTTGTAAGCCTCCACATAATGTGGGAGCATTAAAATGACAATGGAAATTATGGCTAATCTTTGTTAAGACACAGTCATTACTGCCGCGTTTTGGAGGGAGAGTCGGATGATAAGAGTCGGTCTGCCATGTTTTTTTTCTCCCTCTGAAGCGACAGCCTGACATATTGGAGTGATGTGTTTTATTCTCACTTTTGTGTGTTATTTTTCTATTCGCGCTCAAAGTTAATAATGGTGGCGAACGTATGAAAGGATGATAATAGGCTGACAACTTGGGCATGAAAGACTAGCTCCACCTTCAAACGAGCTTTTCATGCAGTTGTGCATGTGGGTGTGTGTGCCTGTGTGTGTGTGTTAAAGGGCTGATTTCTCCCAACTCTCTCCCCGCTCTGTCTCTTTTCCTCTTTTAGTAATCCCCTTATAAAATATTCATAGCTAATCTGCATTTACAATGTAATTACAGACAGGCTTTGAGTGATATCGGATATGGCCGGCGGAACACACACTTCACGCAAAATCTTGATTTGGTGATTTGTGTATTGGAATAAATATTAAACAGTGCTGGGGTTTATTATGAGGTCTGAGATTTGAAATTAATTTCAAACTAGATGAAACAAACAGTTTTTTAAACTTCATCTTTTTTTTTTCTACACCAAGGCACATGTTGATATATATTTCATTATTTAGCCGATGTAAGGCGCTTGCATTCAGTATGATGGATTTTCTGCAGGACGTGTTACAAAGCTATGTCCCCTGTTTTTCAAACTCAAAGCCTGGTCCCATCTTTTTCGGCCCTGCTGGCCTCCGTTTAGTGCTAATGGAGCGGTGTGCGCCCCGTGTGCTATTCTTGCAGGTCGATTTTTCACTAGAGTTGGAGGGGGGTTGGGGGGGTTGGCGTCCTTTTAAATGAAGCACTTGGCGTTTGTGACCTGTAATAAATGAGTTTGCAGTCAGTCATGGCAGCTGTAAGGAGACATCTGGGAGCAAAGAGGGAGAGAGATAGAGACAGAGAAAGAGAGAGAGAGAAAGAGAGAGAGAGAGCTTCAAACTAGACTTGGAGACAGTTTATCTATGCAATGAAGAAAAATGCCTGCACCATACATGCTATTACATCTACAAAAACTATAACGTCTTTTTGGGAGGGGGGCAGTTTAATGTGAAAATGTATTGGAGAACGAGACAAACTAAAAGAAGAAGCAATAATGCAATTAATGTGGAGTGACTACAAGTACACCAAAGGAAGAAAAAGTTTTTAAATCAAACTCTTAGTATTTCTCCCTCAGAATGTTGAAAAAAAAAATCATGATTTTCACCAGAGGAATAAATGAGAAGCATCAGAGGCAGCACAAGCTGAACCGAAAAGTCACGCAGACTGATGATTATGTAAAATAAAGAAATAATTTTCACCCATTTATCTGTGTTGGAAACAACACTCATGTCTTTTTTTGAGAGTCTACAAAAAAACACTGATTTCACTGTTTGAACCTTTTTACATATACAGTCCTAAAAATCATGACTACAGAGGTTGGTGTGCTGACACTACAGGATCATTTTTTTATCTTTCAAAAGCAGCTGGAGACTTCTTATTGGAATATTGATTCTGTTCCCAAACAAAGAGTGTGAAGCACAAAGAAACAAGCGTCTCGGTGCTCGCTAGAATAATCAAAAAGTTGTTAGTATTGATCAGCAGGTAGATACACACATCTATCTGTATAGAATTAAATCTGTTGAAGAATTTTTTTTGTCCTCTTTAGGCTTTTTACAGGACTGTCAGATCAAAACATACAAATATGAGAGTTGCATTCGTCTGTCTTAAAAAAATAAACATCTTCCTTTAAATTAAAGGCTGGACACGGCTCTGTTTCTAGTCCTGTTTTAAGGCGGGTGTCGCTGGTGTGAAGCAGCAGTCACCTTGCAGTAGAGCAGAAATAGCGCAGCTCTCGTTCCCTGGATGTGAAGGTACATAAAGCACAGGATGAGAGGAGCAGGAAAGGCAATTGACCTTGGCTGCTTTTGGAAGAGGGGGGCACCTATATAGTCACCCGGATGGATGCTATGGTTCTGCAGCTTGGCATGGAAGCAGGGGAAGAATGGGACAATGCTGACGATGACAGTTATTGTTCACAGTGCAGAAACAAAGATATCTTTTCCACGTTAATTTATGCATCAATATTTGAACCTTTGTGGAAGAACTTCTCTTTAAATAGAGGTTTATTTGGATGCAATGTCTGGTCAGTTTTGTCCTATGATTCCAGGCATACATGTTAGAAATGAGTGCTGTTGTTAGAGTTGTATACCAGCTGTAAATGGAGCTGACAAACTGCAGCCCAGGTCCAAAGTCAACCCTACCATTTTTGCCCCACTGTGGTAGACTGTTTACCTGCATTAGGGGTGCTTTATCTCAGCCAGTCCCTAGTGCACATGTGAACACACAGTCAGGGGGGCACAGTGCACATTGTGCTGTTTTCAGACCCCCCGCCTTTGTTCCAAAACCCTTGCCAACAGAGAGACATTATCCCCCCGATGGCAAGGTGAATGGGGTGCTGATGTAAGATTATTTGTAGCAGCGAGGGTTAGACTGCAAAAAAAAAAAGAAAAAAAAAGAAACAAGAATAAAAAGAAGGGTTGGGGGAAAGAGAGAGAGAGAGAGAAATTCACCTAATTTTAGGCAGGGAAGGGCAGGGAGTCAGGCAGGGTACATAGGAGGGGAGGTGTCTTTTGGCGGGGATGGGACATGGGTGAGTGTCCTGGGAGTTTTGGTTAAAGTGGTGGCTATCACAGGAGCTGGACGGACGATTAATCAGCAGCAGCCCAGAGGGGGAGCCGAGGCTCTGACAGAGACACTTCATTTTCCACAGGACACACACACACACACACACACACATCTGCTGACAGGCAAACCTGCAGCTTATTCCCACTTCTCTCCTTTTCTCTTATCTTCTTCCCTCCTCCTGTTCCTCTTTTCTTCCTCTATCCTCCTCTCTTTACTTTCCTTCACTATCCCTTGTCTTACTTTCTTTTGCTCTCATCTCCCTTCTTCTAAACCCTTCTTTCCCTTTCCCTCCCTCTTCTCAAACACGTCTTTAGTTCTTGATTAGTCTACTCCAAAGTCCCTCTTGTGACCTGACAGCTGCCTCTAAACTCTGTAAGAGTAGGAGACAAGGATGTTAGAGGAGAGGAAATATAAGGTGCAAGAGGGTGGACTTCTGGCTATACTTCACCCTCCCTTCTTCCCCTGCTCTCATCCCTCCATTTCTGCCATCCCACCCCCCTCCCTGTCTCCCCGTCGGCTGCACTGAGTGATTGATGGATTCAAGTTTGACATGGCCCGGTTCACCCGAGGGCGTTAGCAAGGACACTGGTGAGATTGAGCCGCCAGATGCTGGGGAGAGGCAGACAGTGAAAGTGAAAGACAAAGAAAGGAAAGAGGGTGGGCGTACTCCACACTGTTGACCATCATGCCTTGCCAGGGTTGCTGGGGTGAGTAAGCCTTTCCTCAAACGGTGCACCTGTTCTCAGTTTTCCATTACATCACCCTGTGGCTTTTCGTTTCTATGGTCAGGGTGTAATGAAATAATATGATTGTAAATGAATGCAAACGAACTGTAATGAGTTTCAATAATTGCTCCATGCAAAATGTAGAGACATTTTTCCTGATGGAATTAGAGCAAATTGTCAGCGCTTACAGCTAAACATTAGTGGTTTTGCATTTATGATAGGGATTTAAAAGGGTTTTTAAAGCACTTAGGATAGCAGAATTTTCTCAGCGTACACAAAGTAAGCCTTAAAGGGGATTATACTGTAACATTGGAATAAGCAACACATTTTTATGTGGCAATTTCAGGGAAATGGGGTTTGTACATGCAGCTTATTTGGAATAGGGCAGAGACTAATCGATCTAGTGTCTTCATAAAGAAAAGTAATCTCATAGTGGGCAGGTCAAGACTGTTCTTTTTTCTA